GTTCAAACTTTCCGGTTTGTGCTTTCGTTTTTGCTCCCGTCAAAACTCGCTAAAGAAATTATGACACTACTTAAACCCTAAAACTGTTTAATATTCCTAAAAAACATTCCAAATAGTTATTTCTGGGAACTAAGTTGTTTATACAAAAGATTGAAGAGGTGGCCGGCGTCAACACGGAAGTTAAATAAAAACGATCGGTTTTTCCCTTAGTTTTACAATTCCTAACTCCATTGAGTATTAACAGAGTTAAAATTATCAATTTTCCTCTGGATCCAGCGCTTGGGGGGGGGGGGGGGGGTTTATTGTAAGAAGCTTGAATATTCTTCCAAACTTTCCGCTTTTGCGCTTTTGTTTCTATCGTATAACCAATGGAAACCAATGGTTATAAGCGAGGTCGCGGGATGCCAATCAAAACTTCTTTGTTTGATTGGCTAGCATGTCCCTATAAATAATCACTTCCAAGAAATGTTTTGAAGTTTACCAAACCTAGCGTTCGATCGGAAAGTCGTATAACAAATCTTTCGGAAAACTAAAGCGTCTTTTGGTAAAATAGAAAATGGACGAAGCCAAAGCAAAGTCAAATCTTTGTACAATTTTTTGTTTTCCAAAAAATGACGGGAAAAAATCGGTTCTTGGCTGTGGTTGTGTTATTAAGGGTAGTGACCAAAATCTAAAAATCGCGACTTCCCGCAAAATATCGTTATCAAACGATGTAGAAATGTTTGCCAAGTTTGAGGCTCATGATCAAATAATCAAGCTGCAATTTTCTACAGGAGGAGAAGGCTTTGAAAACGGAGACGATGAAATTGCCTATGTGTCATTCGATGACACTGAGTTTACGGGACAACTTCCCGATGGACTCGTCAAGGCAGATCTCGAAGACGTCGATGCAATTGCTTGTTTTGTTCCGGTGTTAGAAAATTTGGAGCAGTTTTGTGAAAAAGGCGAGTTCTCGTTTTACGAAGTCGTGAAAAAAGCAGAAAAATGCAGCTTGCAAAGAGAGGTTGGAAGTAACAAGCGCAGTCTTGACAGTAAAGACGAAATCAGAAAGAAACACCTAGAAGTCCTCGGGTCTCCGATACTCAGCAAAGACTGCAAGTTCTTGGGAATCGTGGATTTCCTGGAAGTGGAGGGCAATGAATCCTTGCTGAGAATAAACTATCATGATGGAATTCAAAGGAACTTCGTAAAAGGTAAACCTTTATTATTTCACTAAATTATTCGATCACTGTCAGTGCATACTTTCATTTATTAGCGCATGGGGGAGGAGGTCGGTAAAATTGTAATGGGAGGGAGGGTTGTGAAAGTGGTTGGGGGTGTTATCACATATTGAGGGGGGTTGAGAACTATTACAGGGTTTTAATTGGGAACTGATTTTGCGTCACTAACCCCCCTTTTTTCTCCACTAGTTTTTCAGTTTTAGTGTTTTTTATTGGAGTTTGGGGTTGGCTTCAGAAGAGAGAGCCATTGAATGGTCATTAATTTTGATTTCTAATTTCAGGTGGATCAAGCACAACACAGCAGAAAACAGTTATTGCGCAAGAAACAGACCATGGAATAAATAGGCTGTCTCCAGGTAGCTAGGAATCGTTCATAATTCATGATTTGGGGGGAGGGAGGTGGGCACCAATTTTTCTGGTCAAAATTTAGAGGCTATCGCGTGGTTTCATATTCTTTTCTTATAATAAGCCTTTTCATAGCTTAAGAATCGATTCCACTGCGCATGCGATTTTATCCCGAATTTCTACTTTCTTTTGTCTAAACCTTCTTTTGTTCTTAATTAAACAAAAGGTGAGAATTTCGGGATAAAATCGCATGCGCAGTGGAATCGATTCTTAAACTGTGAAAAGGCTTATTACTTCGATGCCAAGCGACAAGAAGAAGCATTTTTTTGTGGCTACTGTCGTGAGTGAGTGAATGTTAACACATGACGTCACTACATAAAAACTGTAAAAACTCTACAAATATTTGTCCACTGTCATTCAAATCTGGACTGCTATACATTGCCGGACATACACAGGTGCCAATCATGTGACATATGACGTCATCAATCACGTGACTACATAAAAACTGTAATAACTACAAATAGTTGGCCAATGTCAGACATACAATGCCGGACATTGCTTACACACAGTGCCAATCATGTGAGATATGACGTCACCAGTCACTCGATCATATAAAAACTGTTATAACTTTACAAATATTTGATCAATGTCAGATATACATTGCCGGACCAGCTCTCAAAGCTTGTATTGGGCTTCCTGTGATGCCGTTTGGTCTTTTAAAAAAAACAGTAGCCACATGCAGGCTTTGCTTGCGTTTTTTTTTTTTGAAGAAGTCCAAAAAACAGTCTGCATCAGTTACTCCTATTGTAGCCCGAGTACGAGCTCTCAGAGCGTCTAGTTTACGATAACAATGGAAATTAGCCTACCTTAATAACAGGGACACAAAGCTCCAAATCACGCCGTTGAAAGCATGTGCTGCCTGGTTGTTAACTGGGCATAATTGCACAACTGGTACCGCTGACCGTGAATAACCAGAAACTCATTTTGTTATGTTTTATAAATAACATTTAGCGTGCATCCAAGTTACGAAGGCGAAGCAGATTTCTTGGGGAAATGTAGTGAGTGTGTGTACTTAGATGTGTGAGGTACAAAGGAGCTACGAGGTTGTGCATTTTAAGGGGCACTAAACTTGAACACTTGAATGTGGCTTTACAAAAAGCGTCGAGTCTTTTACTAAAAGCCAAAAGCAGGCTGAACGAATATGATTTGAAAATATTAAACCTTATATCAAATGCTTTTATCGACCTTAGATGGATTGCCAACTCCAGCACTTGGCGGATCTCAAGACGGCCAGCAAGAAACAACTGACAGTGACCGAAAAAAATTGTCCACAGGTAAATTATTAGATTTGCATTGATTGACACCTGTAATTGCCCTTTTTCACTATGACGTCACTGCTTGTTTGTGGGGGATAGAATCGCCAAATCCAATAGAAAATTCAACTAAATTTGCTCCCAGCGAAACAGTTCAATCTAAAATGGCCTGGTTTTCAGACATAATATGTGTTAATATGTACTAAAAAATATTCTGAGCGTCTGCTGGCTATTCACTTCTCTTCGTGGATTGATACGGGTTTTAGAACAATTTTCGATGAATTTGCGTTGATTTGACCACGTCCGACGACCATGATCCTTTGCGTTTAAACAATAGATTGTTGAAGATTGTTTTGATGTGACGTCATAGTGAAATAGGGCAATTGTATATGACGCTTGCATAGTAAAACACAAATACACCACAATTACTGGCGACGAGGATGGCCACATTGTAAAGATTTGGAGGACTTCTTGAAATATTGTGAGATTTCCTTGGTTTTCACAAACAAAAATGGCCTTTATGGGGGGGGGGAGGTATTTTTTTAGGAAGAAAGATTACAAAAAGGGTGGTTTGGAAATTTTATAAAACCACCGCCCAGCCCCCCTACCCCCGGGACGTAATTAACGATCGGTCCCTAAAAACATTAGTACTCGCAAAACGAGAAAAAGTTTAACGCCTAAGAAATTTGTTTTATTAATTTCATTCACTTCTCTAACGTTTGCTTTCCGTGATTTTTATTTAGCTGACTCACTAGCTGACTTATGGAACATCAGCATCTATTTTCGTGATGATTTTTCCAAAGTGTTGGACGTTAAGTATACAGATATAAAATACTGGCCTCATCTTGCAGAAGAGTTTGAGATTGATAAAATTATCTATGATGCATTCTCCACTTCAGTCATCAAAAGTCCTACTGAGTCATTGTTTAGTTATTTGGGAGCTAGACAACCAGATTTTAATATTAAAGAGCTTTGTGAATCTCTTAAAACTGCCGAAGCTTATGAGGTTTATCGAATAGTGAAGGAAGGTAAAAAGGAAAGCTTGTAGTTTTACTGATATAGTCTCGCTATGCAATCCTGGCCATGAATTAAAAAGATAGCAATTCAAAAAAAAAAAAAATCTCCCATGTTCATGAATTGCTACCATTTTTGTTCATCTTTATACAGGCCACGTTTTCTTTCAGGAAAAAAAAAAAATCGAAAGAAAATAATTGTCACATTTTTTTAACATTCTCAGATTAGAATAGCGCAGCGCACTGATTCTAAAAATAGCTTGAAGATTCGGACAAACATTGCATTCAGTTTAACCGCTACGAGGATTATACGAACCGATTTTATTATTTTTACTTAAAGTTACAATAATAACCCATGGAAACTAAGTTCAACTGCGATCGGCTGTGAAAATTATCTGCTGAAAGTAAACTTGTATGTTTGTTTGTCCGAATTTTGCCTTTGTCTTCGTATTTATGACGTCACGGCTGCGCTGCGCTATTAGATATTGCCATATTACATGTAAAATACTTTTAAAAAATCATATTTTGATGTTTGGTTATTCAGCCAGTGAACTGCGTGAAGAAGATCTAGTGACTGAGATATGTGATAAAGCACCCAATGTTCTGGACACAATCACACTTAAGCTAGACCGTGAGGATAGGCTGTGGATAAACCTCGCAAGGGCGAGAAATATCCCAAAGAAAGAATACTCATCTTTCCAGAGTAATAGAACTGACAACCGCACACGCGATTTGTTTGACGCCCTGGCAGCAGAAGGTCCTAAACTAAGTATAAAGAATTTCAAAGACAAGCTGTTAGAACTGAACAGGAATGACTTAGTAAAGATTCTGAACGAAAATAAATTTTCAGGTAAATATTTCAAAACATAAAGAATTTATGACACCCTTCCATCATTTCTTCCTTCCTTCCTTCCTTCCTTCCTTTCTGTCTTTCTTTCACATTTAAATGCTTCCTCCCTCCCTCCCTTCCATCATTCGCTCATTTTGTCCTGCTTGCCTCCCCGGGGGGGGACTCCGGGAAAAAGTACCGGGGATGCCCGTCGTATCTCTTAGGGGTAAAAATTCGCGATTTAGTATCTTTTAGGGTGTTAAACGCGAATTTTTGAAAATCAGCATTTTCTGGTATCTCTTAGGGTGTCGGAAAAGGAGAGAAGCGCGCATCGACATGGCTTATCCTAGGCGCTTTTTATATAAAATTTAATATTATTTGTTGTGGTATCTCTTAGGGGTTAAAAATCATTCAGCCACGCCCTTTTTTAAAGACTTCCAGTATCTTTTAGGGGTCTTTTTGAAAATTTCCGACGAGCATCCCCAGTACTTTTTTCCCGGAGTCCCCCCCGGGCTTGCCTCAGCATTGTCCGAACACGAAGATAGATGTATTTTATGATTTTATGATTAATGTTTGATAGATGAAATGCCACTGAAGGATCTTTCAAAATATCCAGACGCCAAAAGTGAGATTGAGACCATTCTCAATAATCTAAAGGAGGGTTCCTTATGGAGGCTGGCTCGCCTCTATCAAGAGGAAGGTCTGATTGAAGATATCGATATCGAAAGACGATTCAGACAAGAAGCAGACTGCCACAGCCCAACTTATGAAATGATGAAATATGTCCTCGCTAGTCTAAGGAAGCAATACACTATCGAGGATCTGGTAATCAAGCTGACTACTATGAAACGTGAAGACTGTTTACAAATTCTTGAACCCTACCTAGAAGGTGAGTCATATGTATGCACTAAAAATACAGCTATTCCAAAAAAAAGGTTGATTAATTTGTTGCATGTTACATGTCCTTTGAAGCTTGCTAAACTTGAAATGTATTTTATTCCTATTTAAAAATAATGTCAGCAATCGTTGTGGCCTTTCACTGATTGCATTCACATCATCCATGGACCTGGGAAGTTAAGTGGGACTTAAAAATTGGGTGGGAAATGGTATTGGCACCCCCTTCCCCTTTAGGACCCTCTTTTATGTATATGAAAAATTGAAAAAAAAATCGTAATGACTTATTGCTTGCAGGAGGTCAACAAGACATTGATAGAATCACACAAGGAATCAAAATGAAACCGTCATCTGATAACAAACCTCAAAGGTCTTCTGCTAATGAGGAACACAATGGTGTAGCTGCAACAGATCAATCCGAAGCAATGAACCCTTTTTGTGGTTCAAAATAGCTCCCCTTAACGTCGTCTTTGAGCAGCTGTATTATATGACATACCTATACTGCACGCAAATTTTATAACACGATTACTAAAGATGTCTCCAAAAATCTTTTTTGGATTAATGAAGTAATCCAACTACATATAAATCTCACCTATAACTCCTACTTTTGCACTTATAGAGGAGAGGGCAGTTTTCGAACTTTTAACCCCTTACTCGGAAACATTTGGATGGAAAACAGATAGCTGATATCGAAATCGATTAAATTTGAAATTTTTTGAAGAACTTTTTTTGCCTTCGCCGAGTACCTTATTACTTCAGTAGTCATGCCTAAACAGGGACGTAGCGGATACTTATTGACCAAGATTTTTTGAATCAGTTCCTCTTCTAAAATGCTTAAAATTTTAAAACTTGCTACGCTTAAGTATAATGATCATCTAGACCAAATATGTTTGCTATTCCTTAGAAATGATTTTAAGAAACTATGATTTTAATAACAATTTTAATTTAGTACCCCTACAAAAGTTACACTCATACTTCCTGTGAAATATACCATATTGATCGAGTGCTAGACGACATCACCTAGTTTGGCCAGCTGCAATGGTTGCTTGGGGTTCGTTGTACGTTATTTTTAATCATTTTTGCATAAATTGTACAAAACCATCTTGAAAAAGAAAAGGAATGAATAATGTATTCACTAGACGTCTTTTGAGTAGTTCGAGAATTGTAGTTAATGGCCTTGATGGAAACGCGCTGAAGTTTATTTTGAAGCATATCTTATTKGATGACATTTTTGCGAAGTTTTGCCTGTTCTGCGACGTTAATTTCGCGATTTCGGAGCTCTAATATACATTTTTTTTGCGATAAATCAGATTCTAAGTCACTTTGATTTCGCCTCGTGTTAGTTCCTTGGACGATCTTGGACTCGACTTGARTGTAATAAATACTGGTACTAATTCAGGCCTCTCAGTACAGCGTCTTTTATCYCTTCGTTTTAGTTTTCATTAAATTCGTTTAATGAACACTTACCTGATTCCCCCTCCAGTTGTCTAAATTTATATTACATGGGATCCCCACCCAACCCTCCGACCCCTCCTCCGCAATAAATACTAGTAATAACAGGTCTCCTTTATCAAAAGCGTCTTTTTCCGATTTTCGCTCGCTATGTTTTTTCTGTTACAAACGGAAAGCCGTCGTAAGGTGTAC